AAAAAAAAAAAGAGATTCTCCCACCTCAGCCTCCCAGAGTGCTAGGATTCCAGGCATGAGCAACCACTCCTGGCCTCATGTTTTCATCTTAAGTCTCCACTTTCATACCACAATGAGGAGAAGGAAAAGACAGAGCCATAAGGACTGGTCTTTTCACTCTAAGTCTGAATCTTCCTTGGGAGGTCTGTAAAGGAGTAGATTAGGCTGTGTGGGGAAAGGTATATTATTTATCTATTGCTACATAACAAATAACAAAACTTAGTGGCTTGAAACAACAAATATTTATTATTTCACATTTTTTGTGTCAGAAATTCAGAAGAGGCTTATTGGGTGATTCTGGTGCAGTGTGTCTCCTGAGGCTACAGTCATCTAAGCACTTGATTGATGCTGGATAATTCACTTCAAAGCTCACTCATGTGGCTATCAGCAAGAGGCCTTAGTTACCCTCACTGGCTATTGGTTAGAGGCCTCAGTTCTTCATCATGTGGGCCTCTCCTCATGACATGGCGGCTGGCTTTCCCTCCTAAGAGCCAGTGATACAAGGCAGAGAGCAAAACAGAACTCATAATGTCTTTTATGATTTAGCATCAGAAGTCACATACCATCACTTCTGCCATATTCTATTGGCCACATAGACCAACCCTGATTCAGCACAGAAGAGGAAGGACTACATAAAAGCATGACTGCTGCCAGGCGCAGTGGCTCATGCCTGAAATCCCAGAACCTTGGGAGGTTGAGGTGAGAGGATTGCCTGAGCCCACGCGTTTGAAACCCACCTGGGCAACATGACGAGACCTCCTCTCCACAATAAATCAAAAAATTAGCTGGGTGCGGTGGCACATGCCTGTAGTTCCAACTACTTGGAAGGCTGAGGTGGAAGGATCATCTGAGCCCAGCAGGTCGAGGCTGCAGTGGCCGTGAGCGTACCACTGCACACCAGCCTGGGTGACAAAGTGAGGCTCTGACTCAAAAAAAAAAAAAAAAAAAGATATGACTACCAAAAGAAGGAATGTTGGGAGCCATTTTAAAGACTGGCTACCATAGATGGGTAGAGATTTGGAAAGGAAGGGGAAGTTTTTGGGCTTGAAGAATGGGTTTGGAGGAGACATTAACTGATGCCTATTATAGTCCAAGCTCTTTATATCAAGTTATCTGTTTTAATCCTTTCCACAACATTAAGGGATAGATATTATTCCTATTTTCCTATAAAGAATTGAAGAATGGCCGGGCTCGGTGGCTCAGCCCGTAATCCCACGCTTTGGGAGGCCGAGGTGAGTGAATTGCCTGAGCCCGCGGGTTCGAGACCCACCTGGGCAACTTGGCGAGACCTCATCTCTACAATAAATCAAAAAAATTAGCTGGGCGTGGTAGCCTGTGCCTGTAGTTCCAGCTACTTGGAAGGCTGAGGCGGAAGGATCACTGGAGCCCGGCAGGTAGAGGCTGCGGTGGCTGGGAGCGGCCACTGTACTCCAGTCTAGGTGATAAAGTGAGATTCCAACTCAAAAAAAAAAAAAAAAAATTGAAGAATGGATAAAATGTGCCCAAAATCAAATTTGGTAAGTAGCAAAGTCAGGATTTGTATATTGTGTGTGCCAGCGATGTTGATCTAGTTATTACATTTAGTATGTATTAAAGGGTGATATGTGCTACTGGTGATATGGAAAGTAATTTTAGTCAGTATAGAAATACAGCATTAAATAACGTTGTTCCAGGCCGGGCTCAGTGTCTCAGCCTGTAATCCCAGCGCTTTGGGAGGCCAAGGTGAGTGGATTGCCTGAGCCCGCGGGTTCCAGACCTGCCTAGGCAACTTGCCGAGACCTCATCTCTACAATAAATCAAAAATTAGCCAGGCATGGGAGCGCGCGCCTGAAGTTCCAGATACTTGGAAGGCTAAGGCGGAAGGATCACTGGAGCCTAGCAGGTCAAGGCTGCAGTGGCCAGGAGTGGCCACTGCACTCCAGTCTGGGTGACAGAGTGAGACTCCAACTCAAAATAATAATAATAATAATAATAATAATAATAATAATAATAATATTGTTCTAGCCTGGGCAAATTGGTGAGACCTTGCCTCTACAATAAATAAAAAATTAGCAAGGCGTGGCAGCACATGCCTGTAGTTCCGGCTACTTGGAAGGCTGAGGTGGAAGGACTGCCTAAGCCCAGCAGGTTGTGGCTGGGGGGCCCATGAGCGTGCCACTGCACTCCAGCCTGGGTAACAGAGTTAGACTTTAATAACAATAATGATAATAATAATAATATTGTTAATGAAAAAAGCTTTTTTTTTTTTTTTTTTTTG